ACCAAATGCATCTCTGACTGTATGGTGCGATGCAAGTTCGCTGGCAAAAGGAGTTGTGATAACGCAAGGTGACAGAAAGATAGAAGATGCGACATGGCTCCCACCAAAGTCTTATGCAATGCATATCAATGTGGCCGAATTAGATGCATGTATTGAAGGTCTAAATATGGCATTGAAATGGAATCCAAGTGATGTCTCTATTAAAACTGATTCTCATAGTGTATTTAGTTGGTTAAATTCTGAATTGACTCGTGACAAACCTGTGAAATGTGCTAGGCAATGCGAAATGTTAATTCGACAAAGACTTCAAATATTTGAAAAATTGGTTGAGGATTATGTCATAAATGTAACTGTTACATGGGTACCAACAACTTAAAATATTGCAGATGAACTCACAAGAGTGCCAACAAAATGGATAAAAAACAAAGTTGCAACACAAGAATGTAATACTGTTTATAAGTACGATAAACAGCAGATTTGAAAAATTCTCTCACTAGCACACATGGGAGTTTCCAAGAGTATGGAGTTACGTATGCGCACTGGTATCCACGTTACCAGAGACACAGTGAAACAGGTTGTCGCTGCATGCGATGAATGTAACTCGATTGACCCTAATGTGAATGTAACTCGATTGACCCTAATGTTGTGGGATAAAGGAAATCTTGCTGTTAGCAAAGTATGGGAAAGAGTAGCCTGCAATGTTACTCATGTTGATTCATCGCTATATCTCACTTGTATTGATTGCGGCCCAAGCAGATATACGTTATGGACACCATTAAGCGACAAAAGTGCAACTATGGTTGTTCAAGCGTTAGAAACAATATGGTCAACACTTGGACCTTCTTCTGAAGTTCTTCTAGATAACTCTAAGTCATTTAGATCTCAGCATATGCAAACTATGGCTGCAAAATGGGAAATAAGGCTCATCTATCGAGCTGTTGAAAAACCATCGGGAAATGGAGTAGTTGAAAGAGTTCATCGGACGGTAAAAAGAATAAATGCAAGAGTAAAATGTGGTATTCCCATGTTTGTATTTTTAATCAATAACGTTCCATCAAAACACGGCACACCTTTTGAAATATTTTGCCAACATCACAAACGAGTTCGAATTCCTGGAATCGATAACATCGAATCAACACAAAAGTCGATGACAGAGTGTTGTGAATGGAAAGTTGGCGACAAAGTGTGGGTGAAACCCAAGTACATAACGCTGTGTACACAACGATGGCTGAAAGGAAGTATAGTGGCATTGCATAATGGTTTAACAGCTGAAGTTGATGTCAATGGACATACGTTACCACGACATTTTTCTCATCTGCAACATCGTCGTGTAGACACAAAAGAAGACGATACAACAGATGATTATGATTCAACACTATTTAAACTTCCCGAAATGAGCTCAAAACACATTGTCAATGATGATCCAAATCTTCAAATAATTCCTCCGGATAATGGTAAAAATGACAATATTACGGACAGGGATCAAAACTATTCAACAGATGGTGAGACAGAGTCACAGCCTGTTCAATTCACTCGCTATGGAAGGAGAGTACTTCCTAATAGGAAGTACAATGATTACGTATGAGCTCTTGTTGAGCTAAGGGAGATAATGTGTGTCATTAATAATTAGCATGCTAATTATTGACAAAAGTCACAAGTTGTGATTTTCTATTATTATAACGTTTTTTTAATTATTGTCGACAAGAGTCACAAGTTGTATTATATGCTATATAAAGTGAACAATTTTTTTTGTAAACGCGAACTTTGTATATAAGTAAAAGAAAACGTTAACAACAAAAAAATGGCTTTTAAATGTGTCGAACAACAGATTCTTTTGAGCATTCCTAAAGCCTTACTAGACTTTAGTGCTACTTGATTTTTTGGTCGTTCTATTTGAGCTTGGTGTTTATGTAAATTCTTAGTGTTCTTTTAATACAGATATTCTCTAATTGGAAACAATATCTAGTTGTAAACAGTTTCTAGCATCATCCACCATGTAAAGAGAGTCATTGAGATACAATGATCTGAAACTTTAAAACACTTGCTGATGCTGTAATCCATACGCCACAGTCTAGACCACTTATTTGAAAAATGCGTGGTCTAGATTAGAAAAATGTCAGTCTAGACATGGACAAAATCATTAACACTTTAATATGGAAATTAGTTGGCTATATTTAGCAAACAATTTACAATAATTTTTGACAAGCTCTGGCATATCATTGATAAAATAGGAAATAAAAGACATAAAATAGTTTTAAGTTGACACTTTTTTCCTGACATTTCATTTCCTAATTCTAAGGATTATGCACACACACATATGCACGCACACATGTATACATACATTAAACTTTTTTATAAACATGTATACATACATTTTTTATAAACATGTATACATACATTAAACATACATTAAACTTTTATCTATTTTGTATGAAAGTTGTTAGTCTAAATAATAAAATAAGCTAAAAGGTGTTGAGTCTGGCCAAAAGAGGGCCAACTTATTAATAATAATGCCACTAAGTTTATTAACAAATAAGTTTAAAACTTTTTTAATTCTTTTGTTACTTAACTATAATAAAAGATATAAAAAATCCATGAAAATAATTGCTCCAGAACATAAGTGATGTAACGTAAGTTAAATAAATAGTATCAAAAAAACCAGTTTATTTTCCTTAGCTAGTCACCTCTAATAAACTTTTATATTTTTTAAATTGGTATAGAATTCTCAACATCTACTGAAGATTTCTAATACAAACCGCTTTACTGATTGGCAGAAATCTGACCTAAAAGTTGATACAACTTTTATGCCTTGTTTTTGTGTAGCATAAATATGCTACACAAAAACAAGGCATAAAAGTTGAAAAATAATTGAAAATAATTGCTCCAGAATGAAAATAATTGCTCCAGAACATAAGTGATGTAACGTAAGTTAAATAAATAGTATCAAAAAAACCAGTTTATTTTCCTTAGCTAGTCACCTCTAATAAACTTTTATATTTTTTAAATTGGTATAGAATTCTCAACATCTACTGAAGATTTCTAATACAAACCGCTTTACTGATTGGCAGAAATCTGACCTAAAAGTTGATACAACTTTTATGCCTTGTTTTTGTGTAGCATAAATATGCTACACAAAAACAAGGCATAAAAGTTGTATCAACTTTTAGGTCAGATTTCTGCCAATCAGTAAAGCGGTTTGTATTAGAAATCTTCAGTAGATGTTGAGAATTCTATACCAATTTAAAAAATATAAAAGTTTATTAGAGGTGACTAGCTAAGGAAAATAAACTGGTTTTTTTGATACTATTTATTTAACTTACGTTACATCACTTATGTTCTGGAGCAATTATTTTCATGGATTTTTTATATCTTTTATTATAGTTAAGTAACAAAAGAATTAAAAAAGTTTTAAACTTATTTGTTAAAAATAATTAACAAGGAAATTTTAAAAAATTGATGGCACTCTTCCTAAGTGATTTTTCATAACGTTTATGGAAGTTATCAAATCAAATTAAGTTTTTCCGCAAGACCAAGACCAACTTTTAAAAGTTATTTTAGTATTACAACTTTATTAATACTTATTTGAGTCATTTAAATAAGAAAATCTTTCGTTTGTCGAAGTTTTTATATGTACTTCTTACGTTTATGCGTATTGCCTTATTTTCATTAGATTGAATTTTTATAATCCTTCAAAATATTTTTAAAATATTTTTGAGGTAAAAACTGGTATCACAGGAGAGGGGTTCAGGTATAAAAAAACTTTATCATGTTTTTGTTAACTTATGTTACATAAAAATTGCAAAGGTTCTTTTGTTATTTTGTTGAAATATATATATTTTATAAGGTATAAAATCTGACCAACAACAATTGGAACATGTTTACTCCATTTTCATGCTAAGTTATTGCGATTATGCAAATAAATTGATGGGTAAAATAACATTTTACAATGATACTTTTTTTTAACATGCAACAATGAGAAAAACTGTAACTTTCAGAAGCATAAAAATGCTTTAAATAAATTAGTATTAGAACTAAAGGTATATTTTGATATATCTTTAGTTCTAATAATATATATATATATATATATATATATATATATATATATATATATATATATATATATATATATATATATATATATATGTGTGTGTGTGTATATTTATGTATATATGTATATAATATATACATATATTTATATTTATATATAATTTTTATATATATAATATATATAGTATATATATAATATATATATATATATATATATATATATATATATATATATATATATATATATATATATATATATATATATATATATATATATATATATATATATATATAATATATAATATATAACACAGTCACACACACATATATATTCATATATTTATATATATATATATATATATATATATATATATATATATATATATATATATATATATATATATATATATATATATATATATATAATATATGTATATATATATATATATGTATATATAATATATAACACAGTCACACACACATATATATTCATATATATATATATATATATATATATATATAATATATAACACAGTCACACACACATATATATTCATATATATATATATATATATATATATATATATATATATATATATATATATATATATATATATATATATATATATATATATATATATATATATATATGTATATATATATAATATATGTATATATATATATATATATATATATAATTTTTATATATATAATATGTAGTATATATATAGTATATATATTATATATATATATATATATATATATATATATATATATATATATATATATATATATATATATATATATATATATATATGTATATATATATATATATATATATATATATATATATATATATATATATATATATATATATATATGTGTATATATATTTGTGTGTGTGTCTGTGTTTTTGTGTGTATAGTTTAAATTTGTTTTAAATTATGATATAGGAGATAAAACTGTAAAGTCATTCCAAAAAGGTTTGTACTTGTATGGTGAAGTTGGAACAGGGAAAACCTTATTGCTTGATCTTTTTTACAATTCAATACCTATCTCCGAAAAGAAACGGGTTCATTTTAACATGTTCATGTTAAACCTATATTCAGAAATCAATCAGTGGAATTTATGTTATGGCACAGATGAATCACATTTTGTAACACCCTCACAACATATAGCCAATAAATTATTATCGGTAACTATTTTAATTGTTTTTCCTATCATTTTAAATTACCTAATCAGTTTAAATTTGTTTTAAAATACATCTTATAGGCACTACTAATTAAAAATTTAAATGTTTTTACATGTTTTTACAGGGTGGTTTTTACAGGTTTTAACAGGTTGCTTTTACAGGTTTTTACAGGTTGCTTTTTTAGCTATAAAAATTACTAGCAGTAAGCAAATGCCTAATAGATATAAGGTAGAACTACAGAAAAGAAAAAGATTCCTTTTTATGAAAGGCTTGTTAAATTCTATCAAGTACTTGCTGAGGCCTGTTAAGTACTTGCTGAGGCTTGTTAAGTTTCTGATACTAGGAGAGGGGGGGGGGCTGGTCCAAAATTCTATATTTCTTGTTTAACTAGTTATTCTTAATTAATTTTTTGAGAAAAGTTCAAAAAACAATTCAGTTTTTGCTAATTTTTTATGGTTGACCTTCTACTTCCATTTTAAAAATTTAAAGATATAAAAAAAATAATAGTCTTTACAAAAGTTTCTTTGTGTATAAAGTTACGCAACTTTTCTTTCAAATTTATGCTATTCAAATTTTGATTGGATAAATTTAATTTTTAATTGTTGCGTTTTAGAAAAAAAAAGTTTCATCTGAAGTCTTTTTTCTAAACAAAGCGTTTTAAGCAATCAAGAAGACATATTGCTTCAAAATATCTTAATTTTATTTATTTATTTATTTTTAATCATTATTCAAGCTATCAAGAAGGCTTTTCAAGATTTCATTTTTTTTTTTTTTCACTTTTCTTTAATGAAGTCAAGAATAAATCTTCTTTTAAAGTGCAAGTCAGTAGAAGTTCAGTTAAATTCTAAAGGTTTAACAACTCTAAAAATAAACAGGCTAAAGGAATGCCGCTACCTAAAAGGCTTTATAAAAAACAAACTGGGTGATCAAATTCTGAAATTTTCTGCTTTACTCTAAAACGTGAATAGTGAATAGCTAGTTAAAAAAAATTCTAGAAGCAGTTAATAAATATACCTCAAAGAGGTTGAATGATTGTATCATTCTTGCTAGAGTATTTTGGCAAAAGTTAGCCTCAGGACTTCAAAAAAGAGAAAAGTATTATGTGTTTGGTTGATGACGGAATATGATTAGTATTAACTTTCTAATTAAGTTGTTGCAGTTGGAAAGCTTTGGAAAAAAACACATTTAATTTCAACAGTAGATGTATACTTAATTATTTAAACCATATAAAAAATAAAGCTTCACGTAGTTTAAAAATATTTTGGGAAAATTATTGTCCAATTATTTGTCCAAGAAGTTGAAACTATGGAGTATAGTTGAAACCAGCTACAAAAACGATTGGGTAACAATCGAAGGGCAGCAAAATTTACATCAGGTGTGCAAGGTGAGTTCTATTTTAGTTTAATTAAAGTTACAAGCAGCCCATTTAGCTGTGAACTAGAAATTATTAAAGTCGATAAAGATATGTTAGAATGAAAAAAAAGTTCAAAAAATGAGGTTCTTTATTTTAGGGATACAATGTAGGTGATTGTCGCGGAGGTCTATTCTGTTTAAATACATGATTGTTGGTATAAAAATACTTTCCATCTTATGTCTACCAAAGAACACGCTCATAATCTAGATGTTCTACATGAAAAGTTACCGCAGCAATCTCTATCACATATGATGACTTTTATAGTTATTTTCCATTTTCAATAGTAAATAACAAACTGTATGAATTATTTTCATATATAATGCTTAATTTTTTTTGTTACTTATAAATCATAAGGTATATTATTGATAAATTAAACAGAAAAAGATTTCTACTTTTCTACTTTTCTTATATTTAATGATAATAATAGTTTCATCTATTTTTAACAATGCCTTTTTTTGTCAATATATTCACTTTTAGTAAAACTGAAGTAGAAGGCTAAATAATTAAAATGAAAAAAATGATTATGATTTTCAGAATCAGCATGAAAAACTAATTAAGAAAAATTGGTTAAACTATAAAAAATCTAAAAAAAGATGATTATGGACCCCCCTACTGATACTTCTTAAGTATTTGTTAAGGCTTAAGTACTTGTTAGGTTGTTAACTTCCTGATACTTCTTAAGTACTTGTTAAGGCTTGTTAAGCACTTATCAAGGGTTGATAAGTACTGTTAAGTACTTCCTGAGGCTTCTTCAGAACTTGTTGAAGTTCATTAAGTTCATTAAGTACTTCCTGAGGCTTCTTAAGAACGTGTTGAAGTTCGTTAAGTACTTACTGAGGCTTGTTAAGTACTGTTAAGTACTTTCTGAGGCTTCTTAAGTACATGTTGAGGCTTGTTTTTACCAATCCTCAAAAGTACTTTATATGTTAAGAATATGTACTTTATATGTTTTGGTCAAAATTAGTAATAATAAAATTATTTATTTAAATAATACAAAAAAAAATAAGTTATATTCAAATACAAAATGATTATTTATTAATAAAATTTAAAAATATTCTAGCTTTAAATATATGAAAAATCAAAAATATTTGTTTAGCTATCCTAATAGCTCACACAAATCAATCAGATAAGTTAAAACAAAACATTAAATCCATTCGTTACAAGTCTATATAATAAGGAATTAATTACCCAGATGGTATATTTATAGTTGACACATTAAATGACCAGGCTCTCAATACCTAACCAGTTAATAAAGACTTGCCATTTCTTTCAAATTGTACAAATGAGTGTTATCAAGTATTTATTTTTTAATTGTTAACATTAAAACAAAAACATCAATTTCTTGTGTATGGCGAAATTTAGATATGTCGATTCATCATGTGTGGCAAACAACAGTATATGTGACAAACTTATTAGAATCCAAGCACTATGTAATAAAATGCTTAGCTAACAAAAATGCAGTAGATTTGATATTCTAGGCATTTCAAAAGCATTTGACAGAACTCTCAAACCGTATTAATGGAATTGTCAGAAATCTTTTTTATTACATTATAAATTTTCTATTAGAAAACAAAAAGTAAAATTTTTAAAACACATATCTGGTTTTATGTTACTATTGGTGTAACAAGGCTCTGTTTTGGGCCCAATACTCTTCATAACTTGCATCACAGCCTTGCTTGATACTATAAAATGCGATTCTAAGTAAATAGATGGTTTAAAGTTAATAAATAAGCAAAGCGTCAACACTGGATAATACTACTGACATATAAACTGTTTTAAATAAAATCAATGAAAGTTAGGTTAACAAAACTTGACATAGATAAATGTAAAATTATGCATTTGGTATGAACTAACCCAAACACTAGTTATTTGCTTTAAAACACAATTGGCAATTTATATTGCTAATTAAAAAATAAAAGAAACTTTGGTTTCAATCGATGCAAAGTATTTTCATCAAGCTATTCATGCATGTAATATGGCTAACAGAATGAAAGCATAGAAGAAGTACATTTATATTAAGGGATTTGGTATTATGGACAAAATTGTACACATTTTTTTACTTTATTATTAAATATTTTTAATCTTTTCTTATTATTCATTTTATCAATTTGATATATCTTAAAATTAGTGCTAGTAAATTTACCAATATTTTAAAAAACCGATAATTCGGTAAAAAAAAAATTATTACCGGGTTACCGGTAGTTTACTGGTTTTTTTTCTAAAGACTTAAATAGTAATAATCTAAACACTGAAAACAACAAAAAGCTTAACAAATGAATATATTAGTAAAACAGCATCAGTTTCAAGTCCATCCTAGTTAAAAATAAATAAATTAAACAATCAAAAAGATTTTTTTTATATAATAAAATATAATTAATTCATTTATTATACATTAACATTTTTGTATTTTAGCGTAAACATAAACAAACATAAACATAAAGAAAACTTCATTTTTAAAATAAAAATAATCAATATAGTCAATTCTTTTCAAGGAGCATAAATTGTTTATTGAAGTAAGCTCTTATAAAACACATTACATTTAATGTTTCGCCGTTTAAACTTGTTCTGTACCTTGTGCCAATTAAACCTGCTGCAGCAAAAGCTCTTTCCGACTACACTGGTTGGGCGAACTGCTGAAATATACTTTTTGAGTTTGTTTAAATATTTTCCTTTAATATTTTGTTCCTTGAAATACGCCATTTCTTTCCTGACTATATATTTTTTAATTACTAAATCAAGTTTTTCCTTCATTGACATTGCTTGACTTGATGTCGCCACTGCTGATAAAACCGTAGATTCACTCGTTGATTCAGTTTCATACACTTGCACAACTTCAGCTTCAGTAGTTTCGGAATCGTTTTTTAAAAATTGTTGAATGATTTCTACAATATTTTTTTCCATAACCAATTTACTTGTTGTATTAAACACGCCATAATTATTTTCATTATTTAAAGCTGTACGTGAACATGGTTCATGAAGATATGAATATACATCAGAATATATGGTTCTTCTCTCACTTATTCGAAATATTAAATCTTGTTTCAATTCATTACTTAAGAAATTATTTTGGTTACTTAGTTCATCCAACATGAACCTAATTGTCAAATCTGCAACATATAGATTCGTGTCCCTTGAACAGAGAGCTTCCACAGCTACTTTAACAGGTTGCAAAGCCATTATTATATTTAATACAACATTGAGATCATTTTCTGATAAATCTATATCGGATTTGATATCAATTAGACTCTTACGAACACAATTTTTAATCTCATAAATTCTTTCCAACATTATCAACATACTGCTCCACCGTGTTTTTGTGTCAAGGATTAGCGTAAGTTCTTTTTTAAATTCATCCTTAACATGTTTTTGGAGGATGTTATTTTTTGTTGGTGATCTACAGAACATGACAACAATTTTTTGAATTTTTGTTATTATTGGACCTATACTTTCATGTCGAATTGATGAATCAGTAGTTGATGTATCCTCAATAACGTCAAAAACCCTAATATCTTCCATTTCATCGTCTTCTTCATCTTCACCATGTTCAAATTCAGTAATAGCCACTTCTTGATTTTCTACGGAAATATTA